AAGAATAAACCAGTTTTATTTAAGAAAGGACTTGTGTCGCTAAAGTAACGAATTTACGGAAAATTAAGTAACGACTGGAGGCGTAACAATATATACATAAACATACACACACAATGTTATTCCAGGTACTAAACAAAACATACACTTTGAGTTTTTAACGCATATAATTATACACGCACACTTACAAAAATATTTTTCATACTTGAATTTTGCTTAATCGTGACAAGTACTAGGGATGCTGCTCTAAAATTAGTATTGTTCCCGAAAATCGATATCATTTGGTCCCGGGCCGTAGGAAGCCGTAAGGCCATTCAGGCCATGGCCTGACCACTTTTTCATGCATGTGTAGCTACAACTTATGCACTAAAACCTGCTTCATTTAATTCAATACATTACGTTGTGTTTATGCAGTATTTGTATTTAAAATAGCTCAAGAGTTTTTCTCATAGCATAAAATTTTCAAACATGTTCTAGGGGGCATGCCTCCATATCCCCTTTAGAATTTAGACATAGCAATGTGGCAATGGTCTGACCACTCCAAAATTGCTTCCTACAGCAAATTGGTCACCTTATAATTGCATTTTAATTATTACACCACAGTGCTACGGAGGACAATAATTCTAGTTAAATTTGGTGAAGAAGAAGGCAGATCACAAACCTAGTCTATTCAGTCCGTGACTGAAGTGTCCTCGATTATCACCAGCCACTAGAACTTCCGCAAGAGCTTTAGCATCACTTTCTCTGGTCCCCACTTTCGTCATACATCGTTCCATAAAGCAGCGGATTTCTGGTACAGAAACTACCCTGCTTCCTCCACCATGTTTTACAGTTGAGTAAGTGTCTTGGCTCGCCATATTTCTATAGTTGCTCATATAACGTAACTTTACCTTAAATTTTTTAGCACTAACAACGCACAGGCTTTCGTTAGATAGACAGAAGGGCCTTCTAACAACATCTAGTACTTTATTGACGTGTATGTGAAACATCCAGTCACGTGCGCTGCAAAATCAACAAGCGACTGCGCTAGCTAAAATCGAGAAGAAACACACGTAACCTTGAGCACGCGTACTCGAAATAGATTGCTTTTAGATTTTGCTTCCCCACTACCAGTGGGTCAGCGGTAAATTTGAGGACTTCTAACGCTAGAAATCCACGGATAATCCATTGTGTACTTTTGCGCTTAGCAACAACAACAAAAAAAAAACAACAAACAAATTATTCTTTGTTAACTAACATAGTAACAGTGCTATATTATATCAATTGGTTAAAAATAAAAGTCCTCCTGATTTTTGTCAGCCAGCAGTCACAGAAAGACCAGTGGCGCCACATTAAAAACGGTTATCGTTTGTACTAAACTCAAGAAGTTGATAATAAACAAGTACCACATAGACACTCTTTCCTTATCTTATATATGTAAACATGTAAAGTACGCGGTCTTATGGATAGCGTGCCAGGATTGTAAAACCAAACGATTTTGGTTTTCAGGAACATCGATAGCCAGCACGGGCCCCAGGGCAAACATCCTCGCCGGGCCCCCTTTCTCTCTCTCTTTTTTTAACATTTTCAAGAATTTATTAAAAAGAAGATCCTAAATTAGAACAGCAACGAGCTCATAAACCAGACAAAATCATAGCAGCAGCCGTTTTTACCTCACAGTAGAAGCGTAAAAACATTAATAAAGTGACAACAAATATCTATTAAATCTATAAAGTAACAAATACATATTAATTATTACTCAAATTATTATTTCAGTCGTTCTTAATGTATCAAGCGTCTATATGCAAAGAAAAGCCAAAAACTATGGTTTCTATCATTAAATGAAGATATAGCCTAAAGATGCTTTGCGGGTTTTACGGCCGTGGATGCGCTATAAGGATGATGTTTAAATCCCACTATTCGGAGAGGTAAGAAGTTTCAGATATTTAGTGGTGGGGCTGTTAAAATGCAACACAATATGTCATGAACCCCTTTAACAACGTTGCGATTAAATTGCACAAAATATAATATTATTATAAAACATAATATTAATACTGTTACGTCTCCGTTTGTTAATTGATTTTCCGTAACTTCGTTCCGACGAAACTTAAGCGACACAAGTCCTTTCTTAATAAAACTGGTTTATTCTTTCCGAATATAACTTTACCGATACACTCAACTTCAACAATCGCGCTAAACAAACGCTATAACAACTAACGTGCTCAATAATACTTCTGACTGCAGATCAATTACTCACTGTCTACACACATTACCGCGTCACGTTGTCCCCCTCTTATATATACCAGACTACCCTATCTAGTAAATACTAGAGCATTCATGAAGGAACAAGATAGTTATAGAAATTAGAGGGCGCCACACCAGTCACGTGACCTCGATGACGCAACAATACATAATAAAATATCACATTTTAATTGTATGGATAAAAGCATTTAATATTGAAAATATCAGTGTTGAAAACATCAGATAAAGAAAAACGCTTTGATAACGAACATTTACAGCCTCTTAGTTATATCAAAACATTAGCAATAAAACATTAAATAAAGAAAAACCTTTTACTATTGAAACTTCATAACATGTGAACGACAAAAAAATCATAACTAATAAGTAATCGACAAAGATGGGGTAGAAATCAATGAAAAATGTAATTAATAAATTATCAATCAAGAAGGGTGATGTCTCTTTTCATTCACACACAAAATTAAAAAAGAAGAGTAATGTTTTTCATCAGATTTAATTTTATAACAATTTGATTAAAAACGAAAAAGGAAGAAAAGCACATAGTATGTATGCCACACACCAAGCACTGCGCAACAGCTACTTCAGTGTGAATGTGCGTCATTTGTTGGTGGAGTCTCTCTTCTTGTTTCTTTTCTCGTTCTTCTTGTTTTTTTTCTTTTTCCTCCAACAACTGATGTAGTCTCTCTTGTTTATTTTGCTGTTCGAGCTGTCACTGTTGCAGGTTTTCTTGTCACTGCTGTTGCCTCTCTTCTTGTTTCTTTTCTTTTTCCTTCAACAACTGCTGTAATCTCTCTTGTTTATTTTGCTGTTCCAGCTGCCACTATTGCAGGTTTTCTTGCAACTGCTGTTGTCTCTCTTCTTGTTTCTTTTCTCGTTCTTCTTGTTTTTTTTTGCTGTTCTTGTATTGCTGCCACCAAATCT